AGTGAAAATCTTAAATTTGTTTTGGGTGTGACACAGATTTATCAAATGAGTAATCAATCACTTTTGCATTTAATTACTGATAATGTAATGATATTGGGATTTTTAATTCTTAATTGTGATTATAACATACATTGTAAAACAACCTTTATACCTTCAGAATTTCTGTAAAAGTTATTTTGTTGAAGTAGTCTGATTGCTTAGACTTTGTGATCTATTTTATGGATAACATTCCTTTACAGAATATAACTCAGGTGAGTCATAAATCACATCACATGTAAAGTATTCCATTAAATGTCTAAACACTTATATCCATTATATATATATCCGTACTTCCAAAACACACCTCTTCTCACACTTTAGCTTTATCCCGACGAAAATTTTTCTTCTGTGTCCATCCAAGCATTCGTATGAATTATACCTGGCCTGTTCCAGTCTTTATACCCCACTATATTGCCGATAACAATTTTAATCTTGTGACTCTCTCCACCTATGTCAGTGTGTCCTCTATACCAGATCTATATACACTCCTTGTTATTATTTCTTATTCACTTTTTCTTAATGGAAGAAATTATGACAAAGTTCCTACATGATCACTGCAGATTTCTCTTCAGCATTATTACTATGTTTTTGATGTTTTATTTTAGAACTTTCTAGTGGGTCTTGAGTTTATTATTTATTATACTATTAAGAAAATACGATTACACATGTTTATTTCTCATCCATGGAGTTGCCTGATGATGCTCCTATACCACCTCACAAGTCTGGCATTATGTGGGCATTCCTGCACCTTCTACAGAGGACATACAGTTCTTTGTACACAGAGAGGTACAGTCTTAAATGTGATCTGAAGTTTTTTCTCTTGTGGTGGACTGGTGAGAATTTAGACTCTTATATTTCAGGCATCTTCCTTTGCTGAGACAGCTAATTACGAGCCTTGGACAGACATTTTGCCTCCTGCACCTTTTTTCCAACTATAACACCAAGTTTGTCATATTTTGAGTATTTCTCCTGTAGCTCATGAATTTTCTCCTTTTTTATTAGGGGAAAATCATTTGATTACTTGGTTCTGCCACCTTTGCCAGACATTGCTGTGCATATGAGATTTGCTGATCGCTTTAAAGAGAGTGCTGCCTGGCCTTGTCATTCTCGTTTAATGAATCAGCATGCCTTGGCTTTCCATTGCCTGGAAAACCCTTATTTAGACTCTCACAGGTTAGATCTTCTTGCTATTTGGGGCTCCAGACAAGATGCCACGGTTCGCCTTAAAAAAAATTGAGCAGATGATCTGTGATAAGCCTCATACAACAGTTGCAAAAATGATAAAAAATGCAAAACTGTTTAAGTGAAAGACGAATTCTGGAAAACTGAGATTGACGTATGATCTTTGGTCAGGTTATTGGCTGTTGCTCTCTCCTTGGTATCTTGGTTGGTTTGCTAGTGGGAATTTGTCTTCCTGCATTGGTCCTTAGAAATCTCAGAGAAGCTCATTTTTTTCAGACAGTATATTTTTGCTGGTATTCTGATTCCATGAAATCTCAAGTTTATGTGGCCCATCTCCACTCTTTCTTTTCTACCCTAGCTTCTTGACTGTCTAAAGGTCTTCTTCAGTACAGTTTCCTACATTTCCCACTTGAGTTTCAAGACCTCCGGCTTTGGTGCTATAATCAACTGAAACAGAAGGATGATTCTGACCCTACCAGTGGGTATCCTCCTCTCAGGTGGAGTGCAGACTACAGTGTTGGTGACTACCTTATAGGGCCAGATCCTGTGGGGTTTAAACTCAGAGAGTTCCTGTCAGTATGGGAGACTTTCACCACAGATTAATGGGTCATTCAAGTTCTCAGAAGAGGAATGGTCATTCAGTTCACATCTCCTCCTCCATTGTCTCTTATACCAGTTGGCTTTCCACTCCTTAAGGACCCTCTTACATCGAGCTTAAACCATCCAGGATCTTCGGCACAAAGAGGTCATAGATGTATAGACTCCTCTCTCAAGGGTTTTTATTTCCAGCCATTTGTAGTACCAAAAAAAACAGGCGATTGGCAACCTATTATCAACCTTTCTCATCTCAATCGCTTCCTCCAGCCTCCTCAACTTACAATGGAGTTGTTTCTTTCCCTTCAGTGGCTCTTTTCACCTGGTTTATGCGTACCTTCATATTCCGGTCGTGGACCCTTCACAACGTTATCTCTGTTTCATGTACAACAACCAGATGTTTCAGTTTTGTATTCTTGCATTCAGCCTCACATCTTCCCTATACGTTTTTTGCTGAATAGTCAGATCTTTTTCATATCACCTCTACTCATTTGGCATTCACATTCACCATTACATGGACAACTGGCTTCTCCCCCCTTCCCACTATTTGGCAGAATTTCACACTCAAACTCTGTTATCAGAAGCTGTGAGAGCTGGGTTTCTTAGAAGAAGTGTATTCTTACTCCCACACAGTACCTTGTCCATTTAGGGGTATTTTTCAATTCCAGACTAAGTCTGGTTCAACTTTCTCCTTTATGTCTTCAGGCCATGGAAAGGGTAGTTCTTCAAATACAGTTGTCTAATTCTCCACCAGTGTGTGCAGTTCTATCTTTTTTGGGGATGTGGGCATCCTTGAAATCACTCATTCCTTTAGTTCAGGGTCTTGAATTGTTGTGAGGGAAGGTGGTAATGCTTCACTTGGACAATTCCACAATCATCTCATTTCAAAGCATAGGGGCACTCACTTCAGATCTCTGCTTTCTTGGCACACAAACATCAGATCATTCTCCTTGCTTGTCATTTTCCAGGTGTCATTTCCAAACCGAGCTCTTCCCATGGAATGGATGCTTTACCCTCAAGTTTTTGTTGGATCTGCTCTTGTCTCAGAATGGCTCAGATCGATGCTTTTGCCACACACTGGAATGCTCAGCTCCTGCCCTTCTGGTCTCCTGTACCTCAACCTCTGGCTTTGTGCTTAGATGGTCTCAGCCAGAATTGAACTGGTCTTCATCTTTACACATTCCCTCCCATTTGTCTGTTATTCAAGGTTCTTGCATGGATTCACTTGTTCTGTCAAGTTCTTCTGGTGGCACCACATTGGTTAGGTCAGCCTTGGTTTCCACTCCTTCAGTATCTTCAAGAGAGTCAAACTCTTCCCTTTCATCTCTGGCCATCTCTCTTACGTCAGCCTCGAATAGACATTTTTCATCCGGCAGTCAACTTCATGATTGGCTTTTATGAGATCCATCACATGACATCAGGGATTTACTTCTTAGGTGGATTCTTTATTAACACACTCCATTTGGCATTCTTCTTCAGAAGCTTATCAACAGAAATGGTTTACGTATCGTGAGTGATCTCTCAGACATGGATTTAACCCTTCTCATCCCACTGTGCCACATGTTTCTCAATTTCTGACATGGTGAAATGACAAAGATTTAGTGCCTTTGTGTATTGTCCTGTATAAAACTGCTTTGTTGGCTACCTTTCCTTTTTCTAAGAGAAGAAAAGTATTTGAGTCCTTGGTTTTGTCATTACTTCTGAAATTGTTTCGGGTTATCTTTCCTCATAGTCCTTTCCAAGTCCCTAATTGGGATATCACAGTGGTTCTCCATGCCTTATCTCGTCCACTTTTTGAACCTTTTGGGGTCATGTTCACTGTATCATCTTTCATTTAAGACTTATTTTCTTCTGTTATTGGCTAGCAGGCATTGATATTGGGATGTGTTTGCGATTCACATTCACAGGACTCTTTTTTCCATTCCACTTATGTTCTGTTGTATCTGGACAGGTCTTTTCTACCCAAAACTTTAGCAACTAGAGAAGGAGATAAAGCTTTCTTTCCTGTTCATCTTCCCTCCATTTCACATTTATACAACCCCTCAGATCCAGATCGTCTTTTATGCCTGGCTTGGTCTCTCCATTGTTATGCAGCAAGCACTGAAGTATTTTGGGGCTCACTGATTGTTTATACATTGGAATTCTATTGTGTCACGTGACTTATCCCCTGTCACTTTGACAGGTTAGATTTATCAATTGGTTTGTATGGCTTACTCCAGGCTTTCATTGGAGGAGCAGAGACTTCTTTGGGTCTCATCTCATCAAATCCACATATCTCAATGTCCCTAGCAGCTCGGTTGCATCACCCACTGGAAGAAATTGTACAGGCTGGTATGTCGACCACACATAATACATTTATATTGCACTATTTACATGATTTAGCAATGTCCTCCTTGGATGGGTTTTGGTTATCCCCCTTGGCTATTCCATATGCCCCAGCTCAATTGTGACAGAGGTGAGTGACTTCATTTTTTCTGTGTTATTCTATTCCTTTTCAGGGACCCTCTCATCATTATTATTTGAATCCCATTCATTGATGAGCATTACCTGGTCAGGTATGCTTTTTCCAAATTCACACTAGCTACCAGTAGACTAATAACTAAGATTCCTGGTAGCAACGAGCTCTGTTTAGATATGGTGTTCCGTAAGACCACCTTGGCACTTTCCAGGTGGTACACAATTATTCAGTACCATACATAATATACAATACTGGACTGCCACTCATATAAAGGGATTTTGCCTGTCCCTACTGACCCCTGGATTGAATAAATTGTGGTTGGTTTGCTTTTCAAAATAGGGAACATGGTTCACCTATTGCACTGTATCCAGAGCATCGTACCTCAGGACTCCACAGTGTTTCAAATTTTTATGTAGCATCAATTACTACAGAAGATAAATTTATGTAGTTAGAAAAATATGCAAAACACAGTACTAGCACTTGGCTAACCCACTGTCTCATGTATGTAATCCAGAGAAAAATGCTACTGCATCAAATTGCTTGAATTAAAAAATAAATAAAAAGGCTATTTTATTATTTTCAAGGATTATGATGTATAATAAGTAACTGCTTGTATTGTATATTGAAACTTGGAGAAAAACAATATTATATATAAATATATATATATTATATTACAATAGTGAGTGTTATAATTTCTTCTAAAATTATTTGATCTTCTTTGAAACAGTTGTCTCCTTACAATGCAGCTCCATATATCTCGGTCATCAGTACTTTGTCCATGATGTTTGGTGTGTACAGTTTGGTGATTTTTAGTAGAATAGCTGCAGCTTCGATAAAGGATTTCCAAATGACTCACAAGTTTGCCCCACTGCAGGCCAATTTTCTTCTGATTCGTCTTCAGGTAATAATTTTTGGCATCGTTGGAAGGGCAGAAGCATTCCCATGCATTTATCCAGTCTCTTCCACAATGACTGGACACTGTAGGTATTTAGCTCATATGACATTTATATGTTAGATTTAGTATTTTTATCCTTTACAAATTTTGAGTCTTTACTGATAGAATTATTTTTGAATCCAAACACTTTTTCATATTGATTTAGTAGATATTTGTAAGTAATGATATTCCATAATCGTGCTTTCTCTGAGAAAATGTTGCGTGGATTTGAAAAAATAATAATCAGTGGGAATGACTGGTCATTCCTCAAGAATACAAGAAAAGAATGAAACATAATTCAATCAATTTTAATAGATTTCAATAAAAAACTTATGGGTTTTATATTTAAACATTATAAATCAACTGTGCAAATATGTTAAGGTAAGATAAAGAAAGAATTTTACAGTTGGGTGGAGACAACAAATAATGATGAGAAAAATGTATCCCAGGTAAGTAAAATTAGACTGAACTAATGGAACTTGTTTAAATAATGTTGACAACAAATGTATCCAAGTTAAATACAATTAGACTGAACTAATGGAATTTATTTAAATAATGTTGACAACAAATATATCTAAGGTAAGTAAAATTAGACTGAACTAATGGAACTTGTTTAAATAATGTTGACAACAAATGTATCCAAGTTAAATAAAATTAGACTGAACTAATAGAATTTATTTAAATAATGTTGACAACAAATATATCCAAGGTAAGTAAAATTAGACTGAACTAATGGAGCTTATTTAAAAATAAGTACAATAAATGTTTTTACGAGGATCTGTTAGTATAACTCAGTCTATCCGTTTAACAATAAGCACAATGAATCTGTCTTTCAGGATGATCTGTAAGCATGATAACTCAGTTTATCCTGTTTAACAGTTAGTACAATGAATCCACTAATTCTTATCAATCCTTTTATTGGTAAACAAGGTTTTAAACTGAAATATCAAATTAAAAAAATAATCAAATATATTACTCACAAATTAAGTTACATTTAATATTTATGTCAACATTTAGAATTAAAAATATGTTTAAACCAAAACACTACTCATTCCTGTGCACTCATAGGTCATATATAAATACACTAGTGGTACCTATAAAGTTACCTATATTAGTAAGACTACACATCACCTACAAATACATGCACACAAGCACATGGGAATTTCAGCAAGAAGTGGATGTAGGCTAAGTAATCCACTTGAGTCTTGTATCCAATTGCACAGTGAGAATAACAACCACCTCATACTTTTAGAAAACTTTAAAATTCTTGACTCTGGAACCACAGATTACAAAGAAAGTTATAGCTTTATGTTATCATTTCAAATCATTCTAGAAAGAAAAAAGTGGAATTTAGATTTATTAAAATTTTTTTGGGTGGTTATGAGGTCAGTCAAATGGACCAATATTATATATAGTTAGGGTAGGAAGAAAGAACAGATAAAATATAAAGTTTTAGTGAAAGAAAAGTTTAAAATTTATTTAGGAGGTTTTAGATATTATGCAAATGAAATTTGAGAATTTTCAGATGATGCAAAGTATTTTTAATCTTAAAATGAATATCACTTTACACTTGGAGCAGACAACACTTTTGACTCCATATATATTCATGGAGATCTTTTTAGTGTAGATACTTCATTAACAATTCTGATTTTTTTGTATATAAAAGACTTAACGCTTACTGATAGCTTGCAAAATTTAGTAAAGATACACAAAGTGTATTAGAAGTTATAGTATGGTAACTCTAAAGGTCAATTTAGGGTCACAAACTCAGCCAATTCAGCCACGCTCTTAGCGGGAGTGTTAAACATGCTGTAACACAAGCTCCATCATGACATACTACTCACTTTCTTGTTTGTTTAAAGACTTCACTATACTACAACACAAACTTCATCATGACATACTACTCACTTTCTTGTTTGTTTAAAGACTTCACTATGCTACAACACAAGCTTCATTATGACATACTACTCACTTTCCTGTTTGTTTAAGGGTCATTAACACTTTCACTACAAACATCTTTTTTCTATGCATATCATGAGGTTTTAGTGAGTTAGATTCAAGATTTGATTAAACTACTTATTATCGTGCTACACAAATAAATATAGCATAAAAATATAGCTAATAATCTAAATTTTAATATATATAAGTTTCAAGTTCTTAATTTTATAAGGCAATATTTTAAAAAATCCTGAATTTCACCTAGTATGAGAATTGACATTATTTTCTCTAGTCATCCCCTCTAATTCATTTAGCATCCCTCCAAGAAGTACAAAATTTATTGTAAATTACCCATTATAATGTTTTCATCACTCAGGCAAAGAACAATTTCCATAACCTTCAATTTTATTTAGTTACAGAACAATAAAATAGAAAATCAGACCCTTCTTTTCATGCCCCACTGTCACATCCTCTCTCCTCTCTTTCATAAATTGCCAATAATTTTGTTTGATGTTTAATAATATATCATTTATAACCAGTAGAAAGCCAAGGTTTTAATCTATCAAATGACATATATTATATTGTTTTCTGTGCAGAGAATTATCTATTTTGTTTCTAGTTCAAACTTTATTCCCACAGGAAACATGTTGATGAGCTTAGCTGAATTTTTAACAGCTCTTGTTGCTAGAAAAATTGTGATAATTATGGGATATTGTCTACTTTTTTCATGTTATTATTCTAGTCCTTTAGTGCATTATTTAATCAAATAAAAATTTATTTATTTCATTAGTACCATTGTATATAAAAAAAGTAGAGTTAAGTGCCATTGACAGTCGACAGCAAAAAAATGAAGACCCAGGTAAGTGCTATATTTTCTGTTTTTCTTGTGTGTTATTTATTTATTATTATCAAAGTAACTAAAGTGTAAAAATTAGAAACGTAATAAGTTAGATAAGGTTAGATTAGGTAAGAAAGAAAATAATAATAATAAAAATTCATCATGAGGTATGCTTACAAGCAAGTTGTGCATTATGAAATATAATAACATGAGCTTCATGTTTGCTGAGTGATTTACAGCTTATGTGGTGGGATTGTTAGTTAGAAATGGTTCAAATGGCAATAAAACAGGTGTTTACTGCTACAAGCTTTAAACTATTGAGGATAAACAACTGTAATTTCCTGGTACAATTTGCAGTCATCCTAGAAGAAAAAAGGGTAATTTAGATTTATTTTGTTATGGTGGCTATGAGGTCGGTCAAATTGACTGAATGCATATAGAGTTAGAGTTGAGAAAATAATAAATAAATAAAATATAAAGTTTTACTGAAGAAAAAAACGTTTGGTATTTATTTAGATTTTAGAGATTATGCAAATGAAATTTGAAAGTTTTCATTTAAAGAAAAGTATATTTAATCTTAACATAAAAGTTACTTTGCACTCAGAGCATTCAACACGTTGACTCCATATATTTTGGGAGAAATTTTTGGTGAAAATACTTCATTAAGAATCCTGATTTTTTGTATACAAAATACTTAATGATTAACAAAAGCTCACCAAATTTGTGAAGATACACAATACATATTAGAAGTTATAGTATAGAAACTATAAATGTCAATTTGGGGTCACGAACTAGGCTGATTTGATCAAGCCCATAGTAAGAGAGTTAAACATGCTACAGCACCTGCTCCATCATGACATATTACTCACTTTCCTGTTTATATAGAGACTTTAAACATGCTACAATACAAATTTCATCATGGCATACTCCTTAATTTCTTGTTTGGTTAGAGACTTCACTGTGCTATAAGACAGATTCCATCATGACATGCTACTCATTTTCTTGTTTGTTTATAGAGACTTTAAAAATGCTGTAACACAAACTTCATTATGATATACTACTCACTTTTCTGACCCCTTTCAACCTTCAGCAGACCACAACACAAGCTTCGATCATAGAATACTACTCAGTTCCTTATTAATTTTCAACCTTCAGCTTACCACAACACAAAATTTCATCATAACACACAACTCAGTTTTGTGTATCTTTAAAGGCTTCACGGTGCTGTAAACTACCAGCATAATATACTAATCTGTGTCCTACCCCTTACATATACAGTGTATCAGAACACTACTTTAAATGTAGTACATTTGTCAGTTTCTTGAGTTAACTTTGTAGTCCATCCAGGTTGGATGGGCTATGCATGGTTTAGTGTACTGTACTTTGAAATCAAAGATCGATGATTTGCATCTCTTTGTCACAAAATTGCACTATGCATGTAGGAACCATGGGTATAAGAGTGACAGCTAGATCCAAATATTTTGCTAGAATATCTCAAGAGTTGGTGGTGGTGCCTTCTCTCTGGTCTTTCAACCACTTTTGTGTGGCAAGAATATCTGAAACAATCAACATTTCATAATTCTGAGTAGTAGTAATATGTTGTTCTCAGGAGTTAGTCAAGAGGGGGGGGGGATTGAGGATGTTGCATCCTCCATTTCTGATGGACTGTTAATCATGGGTACCTTTTGACCTAATAAAGAAAATGAATTTTTCTTCAGAGTTTCATAACTTTTGTCAAAAATCCTAGTTCTGTTTATTTTGTTCTAGTATATGAATAAAAAAAATTATACAAGTGTAACTAAAGGTATTTATTTTCCTGAGTAATGAAATATTTACAGAACTTTAGTATATATATATCAGTGATAACTATAACTGATGTCATGCTGTAACTAAAGCTAACGTCTATCACGTAATGATGTGGGTGTTTTGTTATTTAGGGTAAAAACTATTATGTAAACGTTACAACAGATACAACAGTTGTATTTTTAGTATGTAATTGTATCAATAGAGAGTAGAGTTTATCATGCATAAGTTTTAATTTCAATCTTGTTTGATTAACAGAAAGGGCCAGATTAATGAAATAAATGATATAAAATGTTACTGTTTATGTCACTGAAGTTGACAACACAGCAAAATTCATTTTTGAACCTTAAGTGAGAGACTCAAACCAAACAAATTCAGTTCTTTTAATCTGGTACTCATTCAGGGGTAACTACTTAGAAAAGTATTTAAATTACAAAATCCTGACAAAAAGTATTTGAATACAAGATAATAACTGCTATAGAAAGAGTATTTAAAAATACTGAGTTCTTACTTTTGTGTAACTTTAATAGACTGAAACTACCAGTTGAAAGAAAAGATGATGTTTTGGTTTCTATACTGAGGCCTTCTTCAGGAAAGTACTGAGTTTTTAAAATAATTCTATTTCTAAAACTTCTTAAATGATTCTACATTATAGTTTTTAACCTTAAAGAACTTACATTTTCTTATCTACCACACAACAGTGTATTTTAGGACATAATTAGAAAAAACTATGACAAGCACAATTTATATAAAATGCTTATTTCAAATTGTTTATTTTAGTTAACTAGAATCTCAATATCTTATTGGAGAAAGAATTACACCTTCTTGGGGGCAAAAATCTACACTGCCACTTGGAAGTTAATTCAGTTATCTTCAAGAAACAGGAGGAGGTTTAGGTTTGCATAGTTGTTCAAATTTTATGTTTTAATCAATCTCAGAAAAAATTTCCACCTGGGATATGGAGTTGAAACATCACATTTATTCATCCAAGCACTGGAGTTTTAAGTTTTGTAATGATGAGTTTCACCCATGATTCTTTATTGTCATTAGTGTCACTTAATCATTTAAGTTGAACTTGGGGGTTGAGTGATGGTGGCAAGTAATAAACTACATGCTTTAGGCCTAATGCTTTTTTGTTTTCATTATTATGGAAGATTAACAGAAAGAAAGTTGAACTGAAGGTCTAGTCCTCCCAAAATTCTATCCATTAAACTCATACACTACACCAAACTAATTTCTATAAAAGCACTTACTTTTTTCTTTATTGAGAAAACAGCCCAGTGAGCTGTCTTTGGCCTATAGTATGTCTAAAGCATTTTCAACTGGCTGCATAGTCCTTTTATGTTCTGCAAGGAAATTATGTTTTTGAAGTTTGAATTTTACAGTTGAATCAGCCTCTCAAATGGCATCCAGTATGTCCTTTAAATACAAAAGCTAACTCACTATTTCATAATAAGCATTTCATCATGTTCTTCAAGTTTCATTACCCTTTTGTTACAAATTTCATCTGTATCATTGCATGCTTTATAACTGCTGATAGCCTTGTTGGAAATGGTGATGCGCTTTGTCATTGCTGCATTTTAACTTCTTTTTAAGCATATGCTGTTTAGTCTGGCTTTTACAGCATCACATTAAACATTTGGAAACTGAACTTTCCTTGAAGTGGAAGAATTTGGGAATGTTGTACATTTCCAATCCTGCTTCAGCATTAAGAATGTCTTCAACTAAGACTTTTCTTCAGATTCAGAGCCCAACTTTAGATGTTTGCATTTTCATTTTCTTCATCGCTGTCTTTTTCATCATTTAGATCACTTTCATTTTCAAAAATTCTGAAAGCTTTGGCAAAATTTGACCCATTATCAGTCAGAGTTTAGGTAATTTTACCATTTTCAAGTACAAACTCTTACTGTGTGATACATAGTCTGACTTTGAGCTTATACTTAAAATCTTTGCATGTTGAGTAGTACAGATTGGTAATTGTTTGTTACAAAGTTTTCTGCTCATCACTTGAATGTGTGGAGCATCATTTAATTCTTTAAAAGACTCCTTTTCTAATGTTATTAATGGTCTCATTTCCTTGATTTTATAACTAGAAACTGAATTAGCTAACTCTTCCTTTGTAATTCTGATTTACTGAACCTTGCGATTTGTCTCCCAAATCTTAAAACTGTACCTGGCATTGCCTTTTCTGTAAATTGTTTGAACCTTTTAAGGACAAAGCTTCTTTATCATTTTTCTCAACCTTGTATTTTTCATTGTTTTGTACAGCAGAAGAGTGCTTAATCTATAACAATAATACAAAAAATAATTAAAATGTATGTACTATGTATGAATAAAGTGTTGAACATTGTTTACATAAAAGGTGCTATGCAGTATTTTGTATTTTGCTTTAGAATATATTGCAAAATATATTACAAGCACAAAATATGAAGTTTTACCATAAGTTTAAACAAAGCAACAAAGTAAGCTTTGCAAAAATGTTAGCAGTGTACGGTACTTACGTTCAAATGCTTTTGGAAGTTTCTGATCGAAGTTAGTATCCTAGAATAAGTCTTTGTTAGGTAATTATTTTTTAGTAGTATATATAGTAATGTAAATATATGGGTGTGTTGGGCTAAGGATTCTTCTACAGTATGTGTCTGTGACTTGTTGGTGATAAAATCAACAATAAATGAACAGCACGCACTCCACTTGTTTTTGAAATAATATATATATATATATATATAGTTCTCTTCTTGTCAAAAGTACACTTAGGCCAATTCAATTGCTTTAGAATTCAGTTGACAAGCTAAACTATTTTCTTCTATTTTCATCACAATAGTATCCTTGTATAATTCACTTACACTGTCGTGTGAGTTACCACAGTTGTATCCTTAACTTCCAATAATTATCTGCTCTTCATACTTCCAATAATCGTCTGCTTTTTGTCAAAGTCCACACAGGCGAGTTCTATTAGTTTAGAACACCCTTTGACAAGACAAATTATTCTACTTATATTTTTCAAACTGTTAATTTCACTCTAACATTAGGCCATTCACTCCCACAGTGGTTAAATTTACATTTTTTAACTTTTTTGTAACTTTTTTAACTCTTTCACGTGATTTTACTTTTACTCTGTTTCTGCTCATCTGGTCACAGCTATTTATACATCTATCACTTAGGTCTTCCAGAAATCTCCATAGCCTCAACATCAGTGGATTGCAAACACAACATTCAATAGCCTCAACATCAATGAATTACAAACACAAAATAAATTATTAATAATACTACCTGCACTAGACAATCTTTTATATCTGACAGTCTTACTTCCTCCATACAAACAACATGTATCTTGGACATTACCTTTTGAATCTTGTGAAATGATTTCCAAAACTTGAAATCCAAAGTGAATGGTATTTTGCTATTTCCATATTCATTGTGTGTTAAAGGTTGAATGCTTTGAAACTACAAAAACAGTGTATGAGGCCACAGGTATGTACATTATACACTAATGCCATCTCTGGAGCCAAACTGATGAGTTTGTATATCTTGTAAAAGATGGCACTGATAAAATAAAAAATACTTTCCCAAAAGTACTTAATCACAAAATAATGATTTCTAAAAGTATTTGAGAAAATAATTAAAGTATTTTAGCTACTTTTTAAAATACTACCAGTTGTGTTAAATAATATAAACAGTAGACATGCTTACAAGCCTTAAATGGATTATGTTTGCCAGTTTTTGAGAAAAACCCTTTTTTCCAAAGGAGCAGGATTCTGCCCATGATAGGTA